TGGTGCCACTTGCTGACTTTGTGACTTTGAAGTGGCAGTTGCTTACTTTTTCTGTGTCTGTTTCCTCATCTATGTAATGAAGATAATCATGTGTTAGTACCTACTCCAGCAGTTGTGCAGAGAATTGAATCCATTAGGAGAGGTCACCCAAGTGACAATGGCTGGCATTCTGCCTTGGCTGTATGATACAGCATCATTCTTTTTCATAGAGTTGCAGAGAAATGAGATGTATTTACGGTCAATCCCTGGCAGAGCACAACCTGGAGCCCAGATTGTCAGACTCCTGAGCCCAAATATAACGTCAGCCTCTGGGTGAGGCAGGGAATGAGGCTCCTAAATGCCCCAAAAGGAAGGAATCAGGTACCAGGTGGGCAAAAGAAGAGGAGTGACTGAGACTTCTAATGTGTCCATTCTTAGTCATTGCAGAGGGATTACAACAGATTTGTAGCAAGACTTGGAGTTGGTTTATTCAAGTCCCTCTTGAGCAATAAGGAACCAGACCCGATAGAGAAAGACCTTGGCCATGGCCACTTTGTGGGTTGAAGTGAGAAGTGCAGCTGGACCTCAGGACTCCTGGTTCCTGACCCTCTGTGCATAGCATCCTCAGCTCTCCAGCCCAGACAGGGCAAGCTCTCTGGCTGGCTTTCTCCTTTGTAGACATTCCCTCTTGGGCTTTGCTTGTGAATGACATCAAACTGTTGCATTTAACTGAGATCTTAAGGACTGTTTTCAATGTTTTAGCACAAAATGCTCCAAACTCCTGGTAAGGCTTACTAGAACTTAGAGTGTTCGAAACTCATTAATTGGATCTTGAGCTCCTAGAGCCCATGTAGATACTACAATGCAATGCCAGAGTTAGGCTTACAGACTGTGACATCACACTTGTCACAGGGTTTACTTCCCAGCTCTGCTACTTCTAGCGGGGGTTCTTCAATGTGACACTATATCTAAGAGCCTAGAACCAGGGCTGGATCAGTAAGTGTTAGATCACCATACCTGTTACTGTGATTGTTCAGTGTATGGTCAGTGAATGAAAGAACAAATGAAAGCCCCACTTCAGTGTGTAGACACAGGATTGGGCTTCATGAACCTTGCTAGACTTAGTTTGGTCAATAGAGGGCAGCTTTGAACCACGCATCTCAATTTGTTGACAACTACCAGGATTTACACCCCTCTTTGGATTTACGCCTTGTCTGGGAAAACCAGTTTTAACAAGCAGGTTCCCATCCAGGCTCTCCCAGCTGGGAAATGGGGAAGGTCATTATCTTCCAGGCCACGTTGTCCACAAGGTGCGGGTGCGGGGCTGTAATTCATCCTCTGAGTTCAGGGAAAAGGCAATCTGACAGTTGAGGTCTCCGGCTGGAAGTAAGTAGTGAGCTGAACCCTTTTCCTAGAGGAAAGGGGATGAGGGACTCAGGCATCTGTACTGAAATAATCTCAAGGGAGGAGATACTCTAGGGTTCTGGGAACCCTCTAGAACAGTGATAGCGAACCTGTAACCCAAATGCCCAAACTGCAACCCCAAACCCACTTATTTATCGCAAAATATCAGTGCTGCGTTAAACCTGAATGCTTTGGTGATGCTGAAGGGACTTGTTTTGAGTGCTAAGAGAGGATTATGCACCCACTGCCTATGCTATAGTTTCACCACCACTCCTTCAGAGCCATCAGCATGCTCTTTGTCATCCCTTTCCTCTTCCCCTGACCCAAGGCCTTATTTTATCCCCAGAGTTTACTCTCAATTTCACCTACCCTTCATGATTCAGTTGGACTCCTGTAGGGCCTCCATGGAGCTTCCCAGCAAAAATAAGACCTTCTTTCAACCCTGTGTGCTATTTTGTCCTCTTAAGGACTTTCTGCCTTGGATTATATGGGAATCACTATTTATTGTATTACCTTTATTAAACTGTAGCTTCTGACAACAGAGATCTTATTCTTAGTCATCACTCAAGTCTCACCCCAGAGGTGTAGGAGACCTGCTCTATCTGCTTCCATCCCCACCTCACCAGAGCATGGCCTTGCTGTTCTGCAGCTGTGCGCCTGCCTGTGCCACGCATCACAGGACACATCACAGGACTTGTTACTCTGAGCTGCTTGCAAGGCCCCCACCAACACATACCCACTGCACACAAAGATTATGACACGTGTAAGGATGGGACAGGTGCTTCTTTCTGGTTGTCTCCCCAGTATGCACATAGTAGGTAAAATAAATGGTTGGCCTCAAGAGCAGCCTTTCAGACATTAATCAGTGCGACAGTATGGGGGTGCATAGAGGCTTTCCCCTCCCAGGCCTGGAGACTGAGGCAGACAGGAGGAGAGGCTCGGTTCAGTTCAGACATCCAAGTACAGGCACACATCCGAGCACATGACAGGAATTCCCCAAGATCTGCTGACAAACAAGTGCCTGTCGGACATTTTCACTCTGCCACCGACCAGATCTCCTTATAAGGAATGTGTGAGTTGGCTACCAGCAGTCAAGATCATTTTTGAGGTGTGCATTATTCTGGCTCTGTGTCTGCTTGTTTGCCTTCGTAGCTGCCTGCTGGGGACAGTCAACAGTCAAGACATGTCACTAAGGCCCTGTCATTTGCCCCCTGTGGGCTGCCAGGCTGCACTTTAGCTGGAACTGGGAAGCTCTCTTTTTTTCTGGGGTCTTTGGTCATCCATCCAGATTGTAGTAAAGGAAGCTGCAGTGGGGGTGGGGAAGGTTCAAGAGCATACAGGTAGTGCGTTCCTCAGCTGTTACCAGTTTAACTGGGAACAGCGGGAGATCAGTCATATGTAGGCCCTTTCAAGTTAGTCTTCAGATACCATTGCACATTCACTCCTTTAGTCTCTAAACATCCACTGAGCAGCTTTTATACACCAGCCAATACAGTGAGGTATTGGGAACGTTCACAGGAGCTGGATTAGGTGATCAGCCTAAAACATGATCTTAGGTTTATCTGTAAAATTCTTTGTCTTGGGGCTGGAGGTTTAGCTCAGCGGCATAAGCGCCTGCCTTGGAAGCAGGCAGTCGTGAGTTCGATCCCCGGTACCGATAAAAAGGAAAAAGACAAAAAAAAAAAAAAATTATTTGTCTTATTTACAAGGAAATATTGACCAAGCTGTCTAATTTCCATATGACTTTCAGATCTCAGCTCTAAAAAGCCCTGTCTACAGGAAGCACCCCCTCACTACCCTCCTCCTATTTGGGAAGGGGCTCCCTCCTGTTAAACATCCCAAGGGCATGCTGTTCTTCCCCCCTCCTGGACTCTTCTCCTTCTCTACAGTACTATTTTTCATGGGACTGAAAACTCTCTGCAGGTGAAAATCATGTCCATCTTGTCACTGTTATCTCCCTGGCCCATCATCAAATGTTTGTAAAGCCAGTGTTTGTAAAGTAAGTAAAGAGCCTGGTAGAAGACACAGAATTCATTTATGTCAAAGTCAGGACTAGAACTGAGGGCTTCCTCAGTCTTATACTGGCTCTTAGATTACCCAAGCTTCTCTTTATGAGTCTTAATCAGCCCAGAGAGGCCCCCAGAAATGGATACAGATACCAGGAAGGAGAGGAAACAGCAGGGTAACGGACCTCATCATCTTTTCACAGATACTCTGAGCAAAGGGGGAAGCTGCTGGTAAAAGGGAGAAGCCAAAGCAGCTACCATGTCCCATGGCTCCCCAGATTTAGGGCAGGGAGATTGGTGTCTCATGTAAGGGGATCCTGATCTTCTCCAGTCACAAAGGCCAAAGGGCTTCAGGGAGGGATGGAGACATCTATGACTCACACTAAGAAGCATCAAAGGACTAGTAGAAGTAGATAAATGGGCAAACACTAAATACAAAATTTACCATTTGGGGATTTCGTCTTTCTGGTCCTCTGACTCTTAGATTACCCAAGCAGCCCCTGAATACTCTCTTGGAGAGCTGTCTTCCTGGGGTGTACTCTTGGCTGGCAAGGGGCCAACCTGGGGAAATGAGATGTGGGCAGAGCTGGAGCCCAGTCAGGCCTGTTTGATGGGGCAGGGGGCGTCCCCTCAGACAATGGAATGGAGGCCTGTTGTCCTCATGGTCTTCTCCACAGTCTAGGCTGCATAGAGGTGCATAGATTTGAGTTATCAATTCTAGAAAGCTGCAGGAAAGTGTTCCTTTCTCCCCCAGTTGGAAGAGGAGAAAAGCCTATGGACATTCTTGTTTCACTCTAAAAGGGGACTCTAGACTTGGCCCCTCAGGCCTCCAAAACCAACCTAAACCTCGTAATGTGCCACAAGTCCTCCTTGCTCTAAAATCATGAGGTGCCACAAGACCTCCTCGCTCTAAAATCATGGGGAAGATAACCTCAGGTAGAGCAGCTATTTATAATTTAAGGACGCAAGTTAAATACTAGAAGTGTAATATATTTTTTCATGAATAAATGGACACTCCATAAATCCCACTACATCTCTGCCCTACAAGCCTTCTGCCGTGAAAAGTAAGGACGTCCTGGTCCAGATTGCAGGATCCAGTTAAGGCTGATCTAACCATAGAGAAGCAAACTCACGCAAACTGTCCACCAGCCCTCCCATTCCATTCCCTTTTCTCCTTTGTGGACAGAAGGACTGTCAAACGACTTCCTAGATTTTGACATGGGAGAAAAGAAGCAAATGATAGTGATCTCTAGCATCCCAAAGTTGCTGGTGACAACCAAGAACACAGCTCAATAGAGCGGGTGGCTCGATCCAGGACCAAGTGCCATTCAGAAGCTAGAGCAGTTCTGAGGGCCCTCAATGTAAGGTTCTGGACTTTAGTAGTACCAAAGGGCCTTCAGTAGCAGCCTCCACCGGGCCTTCTAGTCCCCAATTCCCGTCCCTGGAGACCCAGGTGGGCCGGGCTCGCAACACCTTTCACAGCTCCGGGATTGGGGAGGAGGAGGGGTCTGGGACCCTAGTGAGCCAATGCGGAGGCCCTGGTCACGCGCCGCTGGCGAACGGGCCAATAGGCTTCGGGGGGCGTGACCAGGGCCTCGGGCTGAGAGCGTTTATAACAACTTGGAATGCGGAGCTTTACAACTAGCTCAATAGCGACTGTGACTTTCTAGCTGTAACTTCCCGGTCTGGGTCCGGGTGCTGGACATGTGCCCCGCGCTGTAACCCTCCCCGCGCAGAGATCGTTCCCTCTCAGCCCTCGCTCGCCTCCTGCTCGCTATGGAGTCCTTGGCCTTCTCCCGTCGGCCAGGCCCGGCTCCCTCGACCGCCACCGCCCTGGCCGCTGAGCTCGCCCGGCCTTTGGGCGACGGGCTCATCAAGTCGCCCAAGCCCCTGATGAAAAAGCAGGCGGTGAAGCGACACCACCACAAGCACAACCTGCGGCACCGCTACGAGTTCCTGGAGACCCTAGGCAAGGGCACCTACGGGAAGGTGAAGAAGGCGCGCGAGAGCTCTGGGCGCCTGGTGAGTGGCTACACGGCGCGAGCTGGGCGAGGCATGGGGCATGGGCCCGGCGCGCACCGCTCCTTGAGAGCAGCGCGCCTCTGCACCACGGAGAGATGGCATGGGGTGGAGACCCGGCGAGTGTCCCCCGTAGATGTAGCTAAGATTATAGGAACGGCAGCCCTGAGAACCCCCAGTAACACCAGACCGCAGGTCCTTAGAGAAAATACAGTTTAAGTTGAATTTCGCTTGGAGTAGAGTGTTCAATAGAGTGGAATGGAAAGAGAAAGTAAAAGGCATCCGATCTTAACAGGGTCTTGATAAATAGGTGTGTGGTTGGGTGAACAGGATACTGAGATTTTCAGCGTTTGCAGTCTGGCGGTCCAGCGAACAGTAGAGATCTGCATAGGGGTGAGTCAGACTCTTGGGTCTTACCCAGCCTCAAAACCGAATCAGAATTTCATTATAATTAGTTTTCGATTCAGGGAGATGTAAAACCAGGCTCAGATGCCAGGTGCACTGTACCTCAAGATACCTTTGGGTTTGGGGCCTTTTGAGGAACTTAACCTGTTGATTTGGCACTGTGTGTGTGTGTGTGTGTGTGTGTGTGTGTGTGTGTGTGTGTGTGTGTTGTCATGGTAATCTGAGACCTTGGGCAATTTCCTGCATCTTTCAATTCTCAGTTTCCCCTTAGGCCAAAAAAAAAAAAAAAAAAAGATAAAAAAAGAAAGAAACAAAGAAGTGAAAAAACGCAGCCTGCTTCGCTACCTGCTAAGAAGATTAAATAAGATACAAATGTGAATTTGAAGTATTCCTGAACAGAACTTGCAGCGAAAATTGATTCTTATAGCTGAAAGTATGGTGGAGTTGCCAGAAGTTAGCTAACAGTGGTTAACAGTGCTTTTCAAACTTGAGTTTTAGTGTGCATAGGAATAGAGGGGGGTGCTTGTTTAAAATACTTAATTCTCGGGCTGGGGATTTAGCTCAGCGGCATATGCACCTGCCTTGCAAGCAGGCGGTCATGAGTTCGATCCCCGGTACCGATAAAAATGAAAAAATAAAAAATAAAATAAAATACTTATTCTCTGGTTCCACAGTCAGTAGAATTTATTTTGGAGGCTATAATTCATATTTTATCAAGTCTTTTAGAGAACAAGTGGTGTAGGGATTATGTGCTGCCAGATCCAGTTCGGTACATTTGTGGAGCATGTGTGCACACTCGTGTGTATGCATGTACACCTGTGTGTGTGTGTTTGTGTGGCCATAGTTTGCCTTACTGGTTGTGGCAGTGTTCCCTTCCTCAAGCTGTGTTTGCTTTTGCAGCCTCTAGCTGGTTTGAAATTCAAGAAGTCATTTCATTGGTGAAGGAAGAGTGGGTGCTGGAGAAAGGGGTAGATGATTGCCCCATCAGTAGGACCAAGTATGTTTCTCCTGCTAACACCTGGCAGAGACCCCAGCTGCCCACTGCCAGTTTATAGCTATTGAGCAATCATATGCTTCCTGGCTTTTCTTTTCTTTCTCTTTCTGTAGAGTGAGGGCCCAGCAAAGCTCCAGGCTTGAGACTGCTGGGCCTGGGCTTTGTCAAGGCTTGAGCTAGAAAATAGTTGCTCATGGCTTGTGCCCCTTGCTTCTGCTCTGAGGAAGACTGATCTGTGGGGTCTGGGATGTCCCGGAAACTGAGACTGAAGTTCAGAGATTCCATGAAGCTTTTGACTGGGGTCACTGTGGGGTGTGTGGGGGCGGGAAGCGGTCTCATTTGATTTCAGAGATAAATCAGCTTTTAGTGGCTCTAGGCAGGGATTCCAGCTCTTATTACATCAGAACACAGAATTCAGAAGAAACTCCTTGGCCTTTGCCTCTTGCTGTGTGTTGAGAGATAAGATCAGTGGACTGGGGACCTGCTCTGAACCTCCCTCATCCATAAGACCACCCAGTACTGCTTCTGGGAATTTGCTCAGGGTCTCTGCTCTTTCTTGGAGAGCCGCTTTCTTCTGTGCTGATGATTTCTCCATCCTGGAGCCCTCTTCCTCACCCACCAAGCCTGCATCTTGACTGTTCCTCCAAAGAGAGAGCGAAATCTGTTGCCTCATGATGTTGCGGTGGGGGAGGGACACAGGAGCTGACCGGAATGAATGGAGATTGTTGATGATGGCTAGATGTGAAGGAAAGCTGCTGAGCAACTTTCATCCCAATTTTCTCTCCACCTCTCTTGCACATTTCCCACTCCCAACCTGCCCAGATGAAATTACCAGGAGCCAGATGGAATTGTGGGGAGGGAGGGGCAGGTAGGTGGGACTAATGGCTGCTCCAAGAGGGCATCAGAGGAAAAACAAATATTTGCTCTGGATCTTGAACACATTCCTGGTATCCAAATGACATTTCCTCCTGTGATTCTCCCAGCTCCCCTGATCACCCTTGACCACCCCTTCCTCCTAAAGAGAAAAACATATGCCAGGCTTTCTGAAATGGCAGGGGCCACCAAAGCCTTAGGGATGAGGTACATGAAAGCTACCCTTTTAAAGGGGGCCCAATATAGGGAATGAGGGGATTTCAAATGTTCTCTGGAGTGGGCCTACCACTGTATCTTTTATATATTGATTCACCCAATGGGCTTTCAAAATGTTTGAAGATGACTGAGATAATCTGATTCCTTCATTGACAGGGAAACTGAGGCTCAGAGAGGGGAAGTGACTTATCCTTTCTTGGCTGGTTAGTGGCAACCTGAAACATTGGCTCCATAAGCCCTGGATGACCGAGTGCTGAGTCTTGGTCTGGAAATTGGCCTTGATGAGCCTGGGCTTGCCTCAGTATGCTGTGGCAATCCAGCAGCAAGCTCCTGCTGCCTTTCCTGGAGCCCCAGGCAAAGCCACGGGTGGGGAGAGTCCCTGGGAACCAGCCCTCACCCTCACACACACTTGGCTCTGTTGAGGAATCCTGGGTGGGGGAAACTGCGTTACATTCCTGGATTTTAAAGCATGTCAGGGAGGGTGCCTCGCTTAGAGTTCAGACTGTAAGGGTTCAAATCATAACTAGCTGTGTGACCTTGGTTTTCTCAGTCCATAAAGCGGGGATCATAATAATTCCTGTCTCATGGGATTCTCCAAGGATTCAATAAGATAATAAATATAAAATATATAATGTATACAATGCTTATTATCCCATCAAGGCTGGCTTTGACCAAGCCCTGTCTTCGTTTTCTAGGGACTCCTCTATCCTGGCACTATGCTGTTCCAAGAGAGCATGGATTGTGTGTAGCCTTTCTTGGGATGAACCACTTTGGTCTATTTCATGCAAAGCCCCAGTCTCTCCTCAGGCCCCAGCTTCAGTGAATGATTCCTGCCTGGCCAGCAGCCACAGGCTTGTTTGCAGGACACTGCCCTCCCAGCTCCTCTTGCACCTGCTGGCCCAGCAGCAGGGAAGGAAGCTGCAGGCGACTCTTGTCCTTGGGCTCTAGCCAAGCCACACAAGAGTGCTGGGCAGAGGAGCTCCTTGCCGGGGAACCTGGCAGAGTGGGCTAGAGGGTGTCAGGGAGAGGGTGGCATAATTCGGGGCTTGATGAGAGGTAGCTGAGGCTCCCTTTGGAGTTTACTCCTGATCCCTGCCGGGCTCTGGTGAGGTTCTACCTGGTTTTGGTGGGGTCGTGAGCCACCCCCAGGCTCATTTCTTCTCTGCTCAGCCTAGGCCAGTCTGGCCCAACCTTGCCTCTGCTATCTAAATGGGTCATACTCCAGCTCCTTGCCTGCTCCCAGAAAGCAGCTGCTCCACGAAAGGCCAGAGAGGAGTCAAGGACCTTGACTCTGACTCCTTTCCATAGTTATGATCAGAGATGCCAAGCTGCACCCTCTCTCTTAGCACTTGGAATCAGCATCTGTGGACCCTCTTTTTTATCCTAAGAACTTTCCACTGTCATCTCCTGAATGCAGATCATTACTGATCTGAGTTCTTGTGAAGGAGGTAGCATTTACCAGCTGAGCCTGAGTATCACTTCCTAGGGTGTCAGCAGAGGGCTGCACATATTTATGTATCTCTAAAGGGGATGGGGGTGGCTGCAAAGCATGGCCCAGGGCAAAATATAGAGCAGTCCCTTCTCCAGGGATGGGAGACAGGGCTGGACACATCCAAAGAACTTGTTTTCTGAGATGGTAGCTTCTCTGGGCAGCATCCGTCTCTCCTCTGAATCTGTCTTGATGGGTTGGGAAATCTTGGAAATGTCTGTTTACTGTTGCAAAATGAGATGGGAAATTAGCCTTGCTGCCTTTTCAATGTGCGGAGCTGCAAGAGCAAGAAGCTTGTTGGGCCAGTGTCTTCAGAATTATGTGCAGACGGTTAACATGGCGATATCACAGAGGCCTTGCCATGACCCTTGGCCAGCGCCTCACGGGCACAGAAGCAGAAGCAGCTCTGAGGGGAATACTGGAGTACAGAGGGGAGCACATCTATCCATCCTACAGTTTGGATGCATCTTGGCCCCGTTCTTTCTGCCTGGAATGTCCTTGCTGCCCTCCCCAGCCCATTATCCTTGGTTAGCACAACTCACCCTTCTTCAAGATCCCAGGGATGGCTTCCCCTGCTCCCCCAGGCAAAGCAAGCTCTGCAGTGTTTCTGCAGCCATCGGCAGGCAAAGCTCTCAGCTGGCACATTATCACACTCGACTGCAGCTGCTGTAATTACAGTCTTCCCCTCAGACTGGGGGCCTTGACACAGGAACTCTCCAGCACAATACCAGGCACATAGTAGGCATTCAGCAGCCTACTACATGTTTAGAGAATCAGTGTCCATTCATTTTTTTAGATGAGGACATTGAAATTAACTGGACAAGTTAACTAACTCATCTAAGTAACCTGCCTAAAGTTATATAGCTTGATAAAGGAAAGTACTCAATACATGGGTTCTTGAGAGCACCCACTGGCCATGTGTTCATGTCCATGTTATTAGCATTGGACTTGGATTTCCTTCTTCAGAATGAGTTTGGTAGCCATGTATAGAGTCTGAATTTGAGTAGTTTGCAAAGCCAAAGAGGCACTCATAGTAATTATACCAGGACAAACCAGGACTGTCTCCAAGTATGTGGCCTTTCTACCTCTGGGCAGTTATTACCCTTTAACTTGACTTTAGTCAGCTGATTTTTATTCTAAAACATCGTTGTCAAGAACAAAGGTCTCTAAAAATTAATTCTCAGAACTGAGATTGACTCCACTTAAGGCTAGGAAGAAAGAGAGAAATGTTATCTAGGCACTGGGTCCCATCAGTCCAACATTAGCATAGTCACAACTTAACCCATAAATATTTATTTGTGATTTCTGTTTACTGGTAAACAAATGGTGAGTGCTTTTTGTGTCTTTGTCTAGGCCTGAGCTGGTGCTATATCTAATTTACTTTGACAGGCTAGCCAGGAGATAGCTAGAGGCCTCTCCTGTGGGGCTGGGAGGGATTAGGGAACTGCGGTCCAGGCCCCCCCACCACCACCACACACTCATGTTTGTCACCTGCATACAGAGGAACTGATGGGAGACCAACAACATAACCTCAGTGCTCCCTGGGATGCCCCAGTCAAGCCGTGACCTGAGATCTAATACAGAAGGCTGTCACGGTTCTACTTCTGAATTTTCTGGCCACACAAAGACTCTGCCCAGCACCCCCAAAACCCGCAGTTTCTGGAACCTTTCTTCTTTTAGGCCAGTTGTCTTTAGCGCTCTACCCCTAAACCTATGATCTCGTTATCTACGTTTACAAATTCACATAAATAACTGAATATCCAAGATATGCTTTGTCTTTGCATTTGTGTGCCTCTTAAACTCAGATATCTTTAATTGTCTAGATATGATTTGTGCTTCTATAAGGTTGTTTTATATCTATTAATATACTTTTGACAGATTTTTGTCTTGGAAGCATACACAGTGTTTTTCCCATTGTCTTATTTTAGAAAGAAACTCCTAGAGAAAAAAGAACTAGTCCATAAAATTTCCCCTTTCTGGAGAGAAGAGGGGTGTGAAGAGAGAATTGTGTGAGAATGATGCTCTGGGTTGAATACACAAAAGAGGTGCCCCTACTTAAGAGGATTCAATACCTCTACCCTCTACCCCCACCGCCTGCCTTGTTCTAAACCCACAGACTTTTCTGCTTAGCTGAGTAGAGAAAGTGGGGTGGTCTGCACAGGAGGGGCAGTCCTGTCCCCTGCAGCTGCAGCACGGCCTCTTCGCATCTCAGAGAGGAGGCTCCATGGTGACTGTCCCTCCTGCCTGCCATTGTCCTCTCTGCCCAGCTCCTGGAGGGCTGGGTTGAGAGTGGGGCCTCAGTCTTTCACTGATGCAGCTTCAGGGGAGGAGCAGGGCGGAGGGCACGCCATCCCTGGCCTGTTGCCCGGGTGACCAGGCTGTGGCCATTGTGAGCAGCTCCTCTTACGGGATTAGGGCCCATTCCACATTCTTGTCCAATGGCGGACACAGGCCGGCAGGGCCCACTGTCCCCGTGAGCGGGAAACCATTGTCTGCCTCCAGAGCCTGTGAAAGGCTGGATTAGAGCACCCCACCCCCTCACCCCCCCACCCCGTCCCCCAGCAGAGGTTTCCTTTTCTCTTCTCCTTTTGAATCTTGAGGGGAGGCAAACCCTCCTGGGAAATTGAATCAGGAGTTGTTTACCTCCTCTGTGCAGTTATATTTCTCACCACTTGCCTATCTCAGCGAAGAGGAAGTCTTGTATTTACCATTCTTGTCCTTGGAGAGGACTTGCCAGGAGCCAACGGACCAGCCTGTTGGACACCCCACCCCCTCCTACCCCACCCAGCACTTGTGCAACCTGGCAGCCTCCGAAGTCATAGCCTCTGAGACCTGTGACATTTGTACAGTTCATCTCATACAATCCAAGTGGGAAAGCCCCTCCGACAGCCTAGAGCAGCTTGTTTATTTCCCAGAAAACAAAACTAAGGCTCTGAGAGGGAGGGAGACAGGGATAGAGCCTGGAGAACCCTGGTCCCCTGGGTCCACAGGCAGCGTCGGTGTCTCCCGACCTTGCCTTCCCATCAGTCACCATGGTGGGTGTTGTCCCAGAGCCTCTGTGGAGTGGGGTTTTGCAGAGAGACCCTGAGGCCCCTCTGTCTTTCAGAAGTGCCTGAACTGCTCCTGGGCAGCTCTTCCTCCATTTTCTGTTCTTCTCATTCCTTCCATCCTGAGCCCCCAAGCCAGGGGGTTAGTCTTTTTATTTTTTCTCCAGTACTGGAATTGAATATAGCTCCACGTCCAGTCGGTTTCTTTCTTTTTATTTTGAGATGAGATCTTGCTAAGTCACTAAGTTATACAAGCTAGGTTCAACTTTGTGATCACCCTGCCTCAGTCTCCCAGAGTCTGGGATTACAGTTGTATGTCACCATGTCTGTCTTGAAAAGAGTTAACCCTTGTACAGTATTTTTTTACCTTTAGGGACTAAGATAGCAGCAAGTCCTGGAGGACTCTGTCTGCCGAGCTGTTGTTTGCTTGTTGCTAATGGAGAGTCGTTCCTTACCTGAAAAGATTGTTATTTGGAAGTTTTTTTCTTTCTTGAATAGTTTTTTTTGGGGTAATTTTTTAAAAAATTGTAGTAAAATATAATATAAATTTTTCATTTTAATCATTTGTACAATTCAGAGGTATTTTTTCCCCTATTTTATTTTATTCATGACCAATTCATGACCAATCTCTGCAACCACCGAGGCCACTATGCACATACAGGGGCTCTACTTCTTAGAGTCCTGGTATCTCCAGAGCAGCCTGCACAGGAGCCCCATGCTCACATCCATGTCACCTTCTCTGGTATCCGGGTCTCGGTCACACCCTCTCATTACCTGTGCCCTGGGCCTGCCCGTCCGTTGAGCCAGGGTGTCTTTCCAGCGTTGAGACTGAAAATGAACAGTCACAGACTGGACAATCCACCCATCTTTGATCAGTTTCCAGATCTGCTGATGGGAATTGGCATGGACAATTTCATTGGTCTCTTGTGTCTTAGAAATAGGCCTCTTCCGAAGCCTGAGCATATTCATGGCTGCAGTCCCACAGCAAAAGGCTGGTATATTATGCATATGCAATCACCACATTATCCATTTCTAAAACCTTTCATCACCTCAAATAGAAGCTGTATACCCATAAAATAATAACTACCCACTCTGCTCTTCACCTTCATTGCGCCATTAGGGACCTCTGCTCTACTTTCTGTTTCTATATATTTACCTCATGTAAGTAGACTCGTAGACTATTTGTCCTTCTGTAACTGGCTTATTTCACTTGGCATGATATTTTCAATGTTCACTCATGAAGGATGTGATCATTATGTACTACAAACATACTAATAAAAAAGTAAAATATTTTCAAGGGTCACCCATGTTGTAGCATATATCAGAAGAATTTCATTCCTCTTTTGATCCCTGGCACTACAAAAAAAAATATTTTTTCATTCATTCGTGTGGCTGAATAATATTCCATTGTATTGTACCATGTTTATTTACTCATCCATTGATGGAAATTTGAGTTCTTTCTACCTTTTAAATGAGATGTTTATAGCAAGATAAGTATCAAAGCAATAAAAAAGGACTAAACTTGAAATTAGCCAGTTGCTTGCTTAATCCCAGTTTGTGCCAGTCAGTGACGTCTGGCTCTGGGCAGATCATTTGACCTCTCTGCATTCCAGTTTCTCCACCTGTAAATGAAGCTAACAAAACTTTCCATGTTTACTCTCCAGCACTGTAGTAAGGGCAATTCATTTAATGCAGTAAACTATTATTCATTGCCTACTGTATTCCAAGTAATTAGCTTGGCATTGGAGGTTCAAGGGTGAGAAAACCGTCCCAGTCCTAGTGCAGTGTGACAAGTTTGCTTTGTAAATTGTAAAGCACTAGGCTTAGGACTGTAGATTGTTACCACCCTTGTCCGGATGTAGATTCTGAAAACAGGCTGTTGGTCTGTATGCCTTCCTGCTGTGGCATGTACTGCACTGGACCCAAGTGAGAAATTCTTCAAGAGAAGGTGCTCTCCAGCCTCTCCACCACCTACCCTGGTGGAAGGAAGGGTGGATTGTCTGGGTGCACCCTGGGGCCTGCTTAACAGGCAGATAGACCCCCAGAACCAAGCTCCCTAAAGTGTCCTCACAAATACTTCTACCTGCCAGACCTTTCTCCTCAGTCTCCTGCATTCTCACTTTCCAGGTGGCCATCAAGTCAATCAGGAAAGACAAAATCAAAGATGAGCAAGATCTAATGCACATACGGCGGGAGATTGAGATCATGTCGTCACTCAACCACCCCCACATCATTGCCATCCATGAAGGTACAGCACGAGGATATGGAGCTGGGAGTTGGGTGTGTGTGTATTCATGTGTGTGTAAAAGAGAAGTAAGCACTAACAACACAGAGAAGTAAAAATGTCAAGGCCTTTAGAGTTGGGTAAAAACCAGATTTGAAACCTAGCTGTATGAGTTAGGGTGAAACAGTTGTCATCTCTGGGCCTCGGTTCCTGGCTCATAAAAATGGGATAATCCCCTCTGTGTCACAGGGTAGTTACAAAGATCAAACTGAATAATGTCACTGCGTGCCTTGATCATGGGAGGTGATCAAGCTTTTTGTTGTTGCTGTTGGTTTTCCCTGCTTGAACCTTAGCAACCCAGGGAGTCTGGAACACACGTCATCCTGCACCTGTTCCACACATGTGGGTGCTATTTTTCATGCATCCCCAGGGCCAGACTTCTCAGAATCCACCTTGTGCTCTAAGTCACTCCTGCACAGCGCTGTCTCCTGCCTCTCCATTTCTCTTGGCCTTCTTTTCTCTGATGTCAGCGTCACCACCCCAGCTTCCCTCTTCTCTGTGACCCAGACAACAAAGTGATCAAGGCAGAGTGACGAAGGAGAGGGGGAGTACACTCTCCCACACACCTGTCTGCTGCAAGCCTTGCTGTAATATCAGTCAGGCGGGAACCAGGGATAACAGAGGCGGCAGCAGGGAGGGAAGAGAGCCTGTGGCCTTGTTCAACATCTGAAAGTTCCTGGTAGGAAAAAATAGAGAAGTCTGCATTCTTGGGATCGTAAGGAGAATTAATCCTAGAACCACTGACATGGCCCTGCAGCCTGTACTTGTCCCATGAGAAACCAGACAAGTGGCTGAGAAGGCTAATTGTATCTCTGCGCAATTCCCTCAGGGAAGAGTAGGAAGATGACAACGCAGTGGTTGAGCCAGGCTGAATCTGGTGATTGAGCATTGCATCCACGTGTTCCTGGGTGTGAATTCTCCCCAAACCCATGTCTCTGGCTGAGTCTAAGATGTGAGCTCTGATACTCAAGATGTGGCTTCTCCTGCATGTGAAGATTCAGCAGACACAGGGGCATCACAGTTTTGTGTGTCTGAAATGCACCCCTCATATTACCCCCCATCCTGCTAGTATAAGCTAGAGAGGTTGTGGGCTTAGCAGGGACTCCAGTCCCGGGAACTCCTCAGCCCAGTAAGATCCTTAGCAATTCAGGAAGGCTGAAGCATAAGCCTGCACCTGCTCTGGGCACACATGTCCTAGTTGCTTCCAGTCTGTGATGTGCGTAATTCTTGACACCCGCCCCCCAGTTTCATGGCACCATGTTGTACCCCTGCAAAGGCATTTAGAGCTATAGGAGTGGAATCCCAGCCAGACACCCCTTGGGATGCTAGGCTACTGTGTTCCCCTGGAAAAACCACTGCTCCCATGGCTTGGTGTCCAGCCTCTTGGGAGCTGGGACTCCTCTTAGGAGAAGCTTTGTCCCTCAGCTCCTTCTCAGAGGCCAGACAGTAATAGCTCTGGGGCTGACCAAGCAGGCCAAACTCATAGGACCTGTTTGACACAAAGATGCAATAATGTGGATATACATGTTCTGGCTCACACTAGCTGAAGGGCCAGGCTGGTGAAGCAGCTGCTCCATACCTTTCCAAGGGGCTGGAGCCAGGACAAGGCCTGAAATAACAAGAAAGCCCCTCCTACACGTGGTGATGAGCCAGCTAGGGTGGGCTGACTGCCAGGAAGCCAGTGAGCCAATTAATGATCACATATTCATTGATTGCTTTTTGTAAGATGCCTTATGCATAAAGCCCTGGCCTATGTACCCTGGATGGGAGGTCAAAGTTAGTGGGATGGTGACTATCTCAGCTTTCCACAGTACTGAATAGTTCTTGGTCCATTTTCATATACTTTTTTCCCTCTCCTCTGAGCCTTGAGGCAAACATTATTGGCATTATTTTTCAAATTCGTGCGTGGGAACACCTATTATAAATATAACAGTAGACACCATTTTTCAAGTGCATTGTTATGTCAGCTCTTTGGCTCAGTTGGACCTGATGTTGTCACTGTTCTTTACCTGTTTCTCACCACACCCCCAAGATTGCCACTATTATCCCACTGTTCAAATGAACAAACAGAGACTGAATAACTTGCCCACAATCACCCAGCAAACCTGTATTCTTACTGATTGATCTTAGAAGAGATTTGACCAAGATCACAAGGGGAAAAAGTGTCAGGTCCTGAACCAAAGAGCCTGGTTTTTCATTCTCATCCAGATGCTATCTCCACTTTTGAGTTTTCAGGGTGATTTCTAGAACCCTCTTAACTTGTTGTTCATAGAAGATGCGGAGCATCCCCCAGAACCTTTTCCTGCCCTTATTAAGCAACATTCTTAGAGAGAGAGTTCTGTGTGGTTTGGGACCAGGAAAGAGTATGGTGCCCGGTGGGGGACAGTATACTCTAGGAAGGCCTGACATCTGCCTTGCTCTGCCCAGTGTTTGAGAACAGCAGCAAGATTGTGATTGTCATGGAGTATGCCAGCCGGGGAGACCTGTATGACTACATCAGTGAGCGGCAGCGGCTGAGCGAGCGCGAAGCCCGGCACTTCTTCCGGCAGATCGTCTCTGCCGTGCACTACTGCCACCAGGTGAGCATGCACCTGCCCGTCCATGCTCCCAGAGGCTGTCCTGGGCTTTGGGGCTGGTGTGAATTGGAGAGATCCTGGCACTTACCCAGGGTCGTATAGGCCGGCAGCGTGCAGTCCGGATCCTCAGACTGGGCACTGTTGGTGTCTCTGGCTTTGAGTGTCTTAGCTGGGAATCAAGGGGCCTATTTAGTTCCTTGCATTATATATCAGTAAAGTTGGGTATCCCAGCCTGGGCATGCGCTACCCTGCTCGGCTCACTCTGTGTCTGCTGCATTCACCCTTTCCCTGACTCTACTCTCTCTCTTTCAGAATGGGATTGTCCACCGAGATCTCAAGCTGGAGAACATCCTTTTAGATGCCAATGGAAATATTAAGGTGAGCCCCATCTTTGGCTTCCAGACCTTCATCATCTCACCCTAAGTTTTCTGTACTGTACCCAACCACAGAGCTCTGAGCTTTTAGTGGGTTCCTGTAGGAGTTGGGCAGAGCACAGACTTCTCTGTGGCACCATTAGTACTGTAAGGGACCTTGGCCATCACCCATTCTAGCACTTCTGTTCCCACAGGATGGGGACACAGGCCTCAAAATGAGGGGTAGTTAACTTGCATAATGTCCAGTGGCTAGTGAATGGCAGAGTCTGGGTGAGAATCAAGATCTCTGATTTACAGCACAGTGCTTTTTGGATGTCCTGAGGGTGACAGGAGTCTAGATCTAGGGTCAGGCCTCACTCACAGCCACAGGAGTAGCAGGGACAGGGCCGGGGTCAAAGTTCTCCCTACCTGTGCAATCCATACCCGCATGCACGCACATACAGTCAAATCTACTGCAGCCAGCCCTTTGGCACTTTTCCCAATAGTGGAGCACCTCAAGTGCCTTCCTATTTCCTGCTGCTGCTGCTGCTGCTGGATCCCCAGGCTGAAATAGTTACATTTCCATCAGTCAGGAGAAGGTCATATTGACAGGGTGAACTTAGGTCTCAGGACTGGAAAGGGAGAGAGCTAGAGCTGGTCGATGCAGAGGGGCAGCCTGACAGGCCCCCAGGAGAGTGACTCTGCAACCGGATCACCTCAGAATCTTTCTCACATAGAGCATGGTCTCCTCTGGGGTTCCTGACCTGTGCCCGTGGTATCCTGGTTCAGAGTCCTTCCCTCACTCAGTCAGTTCCCGGAACAGGTGGAACTTTCTTTGATGCTGATCGGCAGTACGGGGAAGGGAGGCACCCGGACAGGCACGCACTCTCTTCTGTACCAACCATAGACCTCGTTATGGGCTTCCCCTGGTTACTGTTTGATAACAGGCCAATAAAACCATAAACAAAGGAGCACGTTTCGTAAACAGTCCCTACCCACACCAAGCATAGTAGCCCTCCATGGAGCAAGGAAGTGGGCAGCAAAAGAGCATGGGCTTCTCCTTCTAGCTGAGGCCAGGTGGAAGGACTTCCTAGTGGGAGGCTTAGGTTGGGGTGCTTGGAGCCCAGACTCAGAGGCTCAGGGAGTCCTCTAAGAAAATCTCTTCTCCTGAGCTACAGCCACAGCTCTGATCTTTGTCCTGTCCTTATCATTGTCCTTTAGTGATCTTTGTGGTCAGAGAGAGGCTCTGTGGCAGGGAAGGGCAGCTCAGGCCTTGCGTAGGTTAGCATTCGGGGCTTTGCTTGCCTCTCAGGACTGTGGCAGCCGCGTGTGATTGCCCCTCCTCTTCCATCCAGCTGACTCTCCGTGTAGTCTGAAAGAGTCCACTGAGCCTCATAGAGGGCCTTCCCTGTGCAAGGAGCTTCAGGAGGGGTGAGGAGGTGCATACAGGAGTATATCATCAGTCTAAGACTGATGAACAGAGAGCTGTAGGGAGCCATTGGAAACTTTAGGGCATCATAGAAAAGATCTGGGGCCCTGAAGAGCTTCCCAGGGGAAGTGGACCTGCAGGATCAGGAGGTTATGCACAGGTGGGAGATGGAATCTCTGGGGTAGAACACAGCATGCATGAGCAAAAAGGCCTTCAAGCACTGGGCATCCAGGGGCCCCATACCTCTGCTTACATGTTTTTCATTAACACCAATCATTGAGGTACTTTATTCCAGGAACTGAGCTATGGAGACAGTGCCCAGTGTGGGGGTGGGAGCCAGGGGACCCTTTCCTTCCGCTGGAGTTTCCCCCAGGTCTAGAGAAGAGCAGGCTGAGAGCTACACAGTATCCCAGGCCTTGGCATGACCATGTCCATGTTGGTCCCAATCCTGCAGATTGCTGACTTTGGCCTCTCCAACCTCTACCACCAAGGCAAGTTCCTACAGACATTCTGTGGGAGCCCTCTCTATGCGTCACCCGAGATTGTCAATGGGAAACCTTACATGGGTCCAGAGGTAAGAGGCCCCTCCTCTACCTGTCTTGGTCATTGGTTGTGCCTTACAGGATATATGGGCTAGTTTTCCAGCCATCTCCTTTTTTAGAACACAAAACTCAGCCCCCCAAATCAGTGACTTGCCAGGTTTCTAGCTAGGGATGACAGAACTGGTGCTAGACAACTCCCCATCTCCTCCTTGTCCCTGTCACTTTCCTCATTTGCATTACCCTCCCAGCACCTAGTGTGGCCTCCCTGAAATGACATGGGAGCTGTCATGGCCTCCAAAGGGCTGGCTTCCTCCAGGGAGGGTATGGACAGCATCTTCCCCTATGAGCCTCCACACTTCCTCATGCTCCCATCTTTGCCCCAGGTACAAAAAAGAGTCACCCTCAGGTCACACACTGGCCCAGTCCTCCATTGTGTCCATCTTCCCCCAGCTGTGGAAGGGAGGCTGGTGGCTCCCCAGGCTCTCACACAGGGTATCCTTGCTGACCTGACCCCTCACCTCCTTGCAGGTGGACAGCTGGTCTCTGGGTGTACTCCTCTACATCCTGGTGCACGGCACCATGCCCTTCGATGGGCAGGACCACAAGACACTGGTGAAGCAGATCAGCAGTGGGGCATACTGTGAGCCGCCCAAGCCCTCTGGTGAGTGAGAGTAATGGGTTCTCATCCAGGCCTGGGTGGGTGTCTGTGGTTTCTGAGGCCAAAATTAAACAGTGGCACTAAAGTCAAGGAAACAGTAGTCCATTGTGACCTCCACAGTCACACTTGCAGTGTCTGAGACCTCTGGGGAAGGAGATGGGGTCTCCTTCCCAGTGAGGATTCTATCTGGGAAGTGCTTCCTAAGATCTAACTCAGATCCTCTCGGCTACAGCTATCTGTTGCCTTTGTTTTCATCCTCAGAGATCTTTCTGTTCTTTCTCATAGAAGACAAGAAGCAGTGCAGAAGAGCCCTAGTTTACTCTCGAGCACAGTCCCTACTCCTAGGGGGTTGAATGTCAGTGGAGATAAAGGAAAGTACACTTTCTCTGTACATTCCAACAAGGGGTAATGAAGGGGTCATGGGACAAAGAGGCAGTTGAGCAGCCTACTTGGGAAAGCTGACCTAAAGAACAGCCTGGGCTGTGGCACATATGGGGCCCAAAGGTGAACAGCATCTGGACCCAGGTGGGGGTCAGCCAGGCAGAGGGGGCCATGGGGGACCCTTTCTTGCAACTACCAAGCTGAATCCACTGCCTTTGTCTTCCAGATGCCTGTGGCCTGATCCGGTGGCTATTGATGGTGAACCCCACCCGCCGGGCTACACTGGAGGATGTGACCAGTCACTGGTGGGTCAACTGGGGCTACACCACCCGTGTAGGGGAACCAGAAGCTATCCGTGAGAGTGGGCACAACGGCAGTGATTCTGCCCGGGCCTCCATGGCTGAGTGGCTCCGCCGATCCTCCCGCCCACTCCTAGAGAATGGGGCCAAGGTGTGCAGCTTCCTCAGGCAGCACGCACCTGGTGGTGGTGGCAGTGGTGGCAGCAACACACCCATCCTGGAGCGCCAGCACTCACTCAAGAAGTCCCGTCGGGAGAATGACATGGCCCAGTCTCTCCAGGGTGACTTAGCTGAGGATGCCTCCCCTCGTCCTGGGAAGGGCAGCCTCAAGCTGCCAAAGGGCATCCTTAAAAAGAGGGTGTCTTGCTCCTCAGAGGGGGCACAGGCGGACACACAGGAGCCCAGCCCCGTTTCTGAGACTATGGGGCAGGCCGCTCCCCTGCTCCCCAAGAAGGGCATCCTAAAGAAGTCCCAACAGCGTGAGTCAGGCTACTACTCCTCCCCGGAGCCCAGCGATTCCGGGGAGCTCCTGGATGCAGGAGATGTGTTTGTGAGTGGGGAACAGGAGCGCCAGAAGCCGCCTCAGGCACCGGAACTGCTCTTTCACCGCAAGGGCATCCTCAAAGTCAACGGCAAGTTCTCGAGAGCAGCCTTGGAGCTCACGACTCCCACCTTTGGTTCCCTGGATCAACTGGCTGCCCCACACCCCCCAGCCCGGGCTAGCCGCCCATCTCCGTCGGGGGCCGTGAGTGAGGACAGCATCCTGTCCTCCGAGTCCTTCGAGCAGTTGGACTTGCCAGAGCGGCTCCCTGAGCCCCCTCTTAGGGGCTGTGTGTCCGTGGACAACCTTATCGGGCTAGAGGAGCCCCTCTCACAGGGTCCTGGTAGCCGCCTAAGGCACTGGCAGCAGGACCCCCTGAGCAATAGCTGCTTCTCCCTGACAGACTGCCAAGAGGTCACGGAGGCCTACCGCCAGTCACTGAGGGTCTGCTCCAAGCTCAGCTGATGATCACGGGGCATTGGCCCAGCCTGGGCAGGCTCCACAATGCAGCTGGCTGCACCTTGAGGGCATAGCTACTTCTTCTGGGACCGGCATCCCAGTTCCTAAGGCTGAGGGTCTGCCAGGGAGCCCTGGCTGGAAGAGTGGGTGAATGAAGTGCTGCAAGGGTTGTCTTATACCTGATCAAACCAGGAAGGTGACAGAAGAATGAGAAGGTGACTGCATAGTCCAGGTCCCAGGTCTTAAATCCATGGAGGGGCTGCAGAGACCAAGAAAGAGCTCTCTATCCAGGTTTGCCTCCTGTATGGCCATAAGTTTTGCTCCTGGACCCCACCCAGGCACATCCCTGCCAAAGTGGAGAAAGATAGTCTTCAGACAGTTCCATCCCGACACCAAGTGCAGGAGCTGAGAGTGACCTGGAAGAACCCTCCCTTTTGCATCCTAGAAGTAAAAAAACAATCTCTGTGTCCTCAAAAGTTCTCTCTTCCCATCCTCCACACCAGCCCAGCTTCCTGAAGTCGCTGCTTATGAATCTAAAAGACTTGAAAAGGCTTGGGTTGCTGTTTGGCTTCATCTCAGGAGTCAAGAGTTTCTCTGGCCCCCACCTTGGACCTCAAAGACTCAAACTTCTGCCTCTAAGCTGCTCCTGAAGGCCAGACTGGATGTATCTGTTTTGCTGGTCTTTCAGGACCTTAGGATGTCCTTATTTATTTTTAAATAGTTTATGTGCTCAACTCTGTGTTTTTTAAAGTGAATCTTGCTGTTTTGAATAATGTGAATGCTATGTTCTGGTGGAGATACACTGTGACATCTGAGTTTCTGTACAGAGCGGGATTTTAGAGGGGTGCCGGCTGATCTGGGAGGGGAGTCTTACAAGCCCACATGTTCTTTGCACTGTCTGGAACTGGATTGCTGGCTCCCTCATGCCGCGCCCTGATGCTGTCTATCTTCCTTTGTGGCCAGAAAAAAAAAAAAAAAAAAAAAAAAAAAAAAACACTCCATTAAAACCAGAATAGTGATTTGAGAACAGCCTCCTGTTGTTTAGGAGGTGCGCCCCCCCAAGGTCTGTAAGTCTGAGCTGCTATCTGTGGGACCCAGAAGCTGCATAACCAGAACAGGAGCAAAAGGCTGGGGTAAAGCTCGACGGTACAGCCCTTGCCTAGGGTGCATGCTCAAGCCCCCCCCCCCCCAATAATAAAACCCTTCCTGGCTCCAAGCTCCCAGGACTCCCGTTTCTCCCGCTGCAGCAGCAGCTCTGGCCTGACCCCACTGAACATTCACATTCAGTGGAAAAGCCCTGGGCCTCCCGGGGATGCCGGGTAGCTGCTCCTGCCTGTGATACTAAAAAAAAAAAAAAAAAAAAAAAAAAAAAAACAGGTCCTACAGTTTATCCCGCCCCACCCCCATTCCCTAGCCCCCTGTCCTGCCCCGTCCCCCTCCCCATCAGTCGGCTGACCGCCCTGCCCCCTGCCGAGGGAAGACATCCCCGCAGCTTTTATTCTCTAGCTCCAATGAAATCCCCTTGCCTGCAGTGCCGAGCGGCTTCTGTGTCCTCCGCCCCCACTCCAGACTCCTGGAGGAATCAAGAATGCCTGGAATGTCCACCCCCCCACAGAGCACCCCCGGCCCCCTGCAGAGCACCCCTTCCCGCGCGGCCTGCGCCATTGAGAAAGTCCGGGCTCCAAGGACCAGATGGGATGAAAAGGAGGATGAGGACAAAGTGCAGGCGGGCAGCCGGCGGGCTCCGGCTTCAGCCCCGTCCCGGCTCTGACCTGCTCTGGTATTCACAACCACCCCCCACCTCCAGTTCTGGTCAGTGCAGCTCCGCAGATCCCTGCTGCACCGCACAGCTGGCCTTGGCCAGATGTTTATGCCTGCCCAGTAGGGAGTCCGACCTTCCGTCTCGGTACCTGCACAGCTGAAAAAGCCACCGAGTCTGGGAACCAGACGGGAGGACAGAGCAACTGTGGGGTGAAGACGGAACCGCCACCGAGAAAGGCGAGAGAAGGCTGGCGGACTGGGGTGTGAGCTCCTCTGAGAGCCGGGGTGCTGAGTACCGCGCCTCCGCCGAAAAATGCAGGGGCTGCGCCTGAGCTTGCTGGGGAAATATACCCTGGAAGACGGGAAATGGCTACGTAGATGGGCTTGGAGCCCAGATAGGGTAATAAATCAGACCTTAGCTTCCAGGAGGCTGCAGACCCGAGGGCAGGTACCACAAATAAGTTAAACTCAGGGGGAAATTGTGCGGCTGATGAGTTCGGAGCAGGGGAAGTGGCAGTAGAGGCTACTGTTTAAGTACTTTATGTGTATCTGCCCTTTTCATTCTGCCCACAGCTCTATTAGAGGTCTCCTCAGTCTGACATCCTTTTTTTTTTCTTTTTTTAAATCATTCTTATTTTACAAAACAACTGGAGACTCAAAAACATTAAGAAACTTAGATCAATGGGAGGTCCAATCTTGATGGGCAGGGGAATGCAATTTGAACTAGATGGGGTTTGGAGAACTGGATAAAAGAGATGACTGGACCAGCATACTGGGAGGCTGAGGCAAGAGGATTACAAGTTTCAGACCAGCCTAAACAACTTAGCAAGAACCTCTCTCAAAAAAAGGGCTGGAGATACAGCTCAGTTCATAGGCCCTGGATTCATCTCCAGTAGTGGGGAAGAAAAAAAGAAATGTGATTGCAACTACACATATTCATTGAGCATCTATTCCATGCCAGGTGCTTAGCCTGGCATAGCAATAACCTCTACTGGAAATACCCAATAGAGGTATACAAACTCTAAGAGGGAGTTAAAAAAAGAATGCCAGGTGTGGCAGGGCATGCCCCCATTCCAGGGAGGCTGAAGGAAGAGGATCACAGTGAATTTGACCCTCAGCTGCATAGTGAATTCAAGGCTACCTGAACTACAGCACTGCACCCTGTCTCAAAACGAAAGAGAGGAAAGGAGAAAAAGGGGACCTCATCAACAGAGCCTGTACCTAGTGTGGGACAGGAGGGAGGAGGAGGACAGAACCCTACAGCTTTTTTCACTGTGGCAAGTGCTGGGATAGGCTTTGTGGGTCTGAGCCCCAGATCTGGGTCCTCCTGTGCTCTAGCAGCTTAACTTCCTGGAAGCCTCTTAGCAGAGTCCAAGGCAGACCTAGCTGGAGGAGTGGGCGTCCTATGGTGGAGATGAGGCTCAGTGCTAAGCGGAGGTCTCTGATTTTGGCTCCAAAGACCTGGGCTGGGGCCTCCCTGTCACCTGCCAAGACACTTCATACCAAAAACATTCCAGACAGCAGGCTCAGAGATGACTCCGGGCCTGGAAGGCTGGCGCTGCGGGAATATTTAGTACCACATCAGCGCTTCCAGAATGTCAACAGTCCAGGCACAGGAGGGGACAGGAAAGGTCCAAAGGCTGTTCTCCGTGATCATAGAGGCAGGCCACACTGCTCAAGCGAGTGGAAACCCCCTCTCTCAGTAGTACTCTGGGCATTATGCTAACCCAAGATATCAGCTCTGGGAGTCAGAAGCCCAAGATGACTGGCAACCAAATGTGGAGGCACATGCCTGTGATCCTAGCATTCTGAGAGGCTGAGGCAGGAGGAAGATGGTAAATGAACCACACTTTTGACCATAACACTGTGGGAGGCTGAGGCAGGAGGACTGCAAGTCTGAACCGACCCTGGCAGACTTGGTAACTTAGCAAGATCCCGTCTCAGGAAAAAAAAAAATAATGCTGGGGATAGAGCTCAGCGTGAAGTCTCTGAATTCAACTCCCTAGTACTGATTTAAAAAAGAAGATGGGGTGGGTTTTTTAGGAAAAAAAAGGATCCAGAAAATGATTGGAGGCCACCGAGATGTTGGGTTCGGCTTGAGGAGCCATCATTCATCCACGAAGTCTCTACTTGCTGAGGGCTTCGGAGCACACAGTCTGGGCTGGGGGTGAATTGGTGAACAAACTGACAAACATCTTTACCTTCAGGGGCTGCTGTTCTAGTGAGAGAAGACAAAACAGCAAATATAATAATAAGGAAATTATATTGTAGTAAAAGGTCTTAAGTATTAGGAAAGTACCAAACATTGGGATGGGACTCAAGGCCAAAGGGTAAGGGAATATAATTTCTATGCCACGTAGCTATTTGGGGAAACGATTCCAGACAGGGTTGGGGGCTCATCACTGCACCCACCTGCCATGAGAGCTCAGGGCAGTAGCAAGTTGCAGCACTCCAGCAAGCCTGGTGACTGAGACAGTGGTAGCTGTAGTCAGGAGGGGAATGGGGCCAGGACGCATAGATTAGGTGGGGCCTGTGAGCCATTACAGGGCTGTGGCTTTTATTCTGAAAGACTTGGGGAGCCACTGGATCTTCTGAGCAAAGGAATGATGTGATATGTTAGAATTAAGCAAAAAAATCACTTGGGAGGCTGAGGCAGGAAGATTGCTACAAATATAAGACCATCTTGAGCTACTTGGTGAGTTCAAGGCCAACTTGAACTATATAGCAGACCCTGTCTCAAAAAGCAAAAGAGAAAAAATAGAAAAAACATCCTCTAGCTGCTTGTTGAGAAGAGCAGTTTGGGAAGTCACAGTGGGAAGCGGGGAGACAGATTCTGGAAGGTGATAGGGGGCTTCTACGGGAGTCACAGGAGTAAAGAATGAAATGTCAGATTTGGGGACTCCTTGAGTACACATCCATCCTCCTGCCTCAGCCTCTCCAGTGCTAAAACTACATGTTTTAAAGGGGAGGCAACTGGTCTTCCTGATAGATTAGATGAGGAGTGTGAAAGAAAGAAAGAAAGCAGCCAAGAATAATTCCACAGCTTTGGCCTGAAATCTGTGAAGGAGGGCGAGACCATTAGCTGGGGAGGGGGAGCTTGCAGGTGGTTGAAGTGTGGGCCAACCTTGGGCTCGGGAGAGGGCGCTTAGACCTCTAAGCAGATAAGTGATATAAGGTGTCTGGAATTTGGAGAAGAGACTTAGTAAAGTGATAGAGATCTGGGAATTTTTCTGGAATTTCTGCTTTGGGTCAGAAGTCTGAATGGCTAACCTCTGATGTCACTTCCTGCTATAAACATTCTAGGACTGAAGCCAGACCTGGTGGCCTGCTCCTGTAATCAGAGCCCTTGGGAGGCTGAGGCAGGAGGATCACTGGGCATTGGAAGCCAGCCTGGGCTACATAGTGAGTTCAAGGCCAGACTGAACTTTGTAGTGAAACCGTCTCAAAACAACAAGTTCTAGAATATGTTGAATAGGAAAGATGGGAGGAGGAAGTTGGGGAGAAAGTGAGCCTTTATAAAATTAAACTATCCTGCACCTCAGTTTCCCTATCTGTGCTAAGATTTCTCAGGACCCTCCAGCTCTGAAATTCAATGGTCACACACGTTGTTAAAGGTGTTCTCAGATTTCATAAGAATGTTAGAAATGTCCCTATTGGCCCAGCACTTTGCCTATGACAGAGGCCCCTACAGAGGGGTTATGAGTTGCTTTAAACTGCGATGGTCAGGTCGGCAGAGTGTTCTTGGTCAGAGCGGGTTTGTGGCCCGGAATCTGTTTTCGCTCACTTGGGCAGTTGGATCTAATCTCAATGAAGCTTTCAGATCACTCAAGGTGACACTTCGAAGGAACCTGTTTCTGTGTAGTTGGGTGCCGCGGGGTAAGAAGCTGTTCTGGGGAACATGAACCCATTTTCTCTTTCCCTGCCTCTTTGTGACTCAGAACCCTCCCCTCACTACCCCCTTGCCCACCTGCGCATCCCCCATACCTCAGTGGTCTCTCCTCTTCGGTCCCTTGCTGCACTAATTGCTAACCCTAACCCTTTCCCATTTCCTGACCTCACCAGGGGTCTCCAGCAGGTTGTGAATGAGTCACCCTTGGAGGGGAAGGGGCTTCAGTCCATAAATGGGCAAAACCTCGCTAAGTTTCTGTCTCTAAGGAAAGAGCCAACCTCTGCCCTCTCCCCCGAAGGAATTTCCCCAGAAGAGGAAGGCGTCTGGGACTGGCTTGGGCCGGATGGGATTCTACAAATAGCTGAGCTTTTTAGGAG